TGAGGCCAGTTGTTAGACCCAGCGTCTCACCATATTCAATGTTTTAATACTTGTTTGTATTAGTTTCTAGTTCATACTTGCATAGTTTTCATTCATATGATTGGTAATTTTTTATATGATAAATAATTCAATGTGAAATTCAAGTTCAGTTGAGTCAGCAGTTTCAGTATTGGTTAGTCAGTAAACTAAATTTGCCAATTACAATTATTTAATTATTACTTTGCACTTTCTTTTAATCTGTAAATAATATAATACTAGTAACTTTCGAACTTTCGATTTTAAATTAAATGTATTCAATTAAATTTATCGTTAAACGTGCGTTGATTTGACAATATAAAATTTTTATTTTTATCGGTTACAAAAATTGAACTAATTTATTATTGAATAATCAAGTTGAGATATTCACCAGTTTAAAGCAACCCATAGATTATTTATATTATCTGTTCAAATTTCCAGACTTGATCACATGTTAATCCGCACACTACATTTGTTTTATAAGAGTCGTAATATTTTTTTTCTCAAACACTTGATTCTTCAGATAAAGAGTTTTTGCAATTCTTCAAAATAATCTAGATGGCCCAGTTCTACGACTCACAGCTATTGATAAGTTATTCATGTGTATAATTAAGAGGAATAAAGTAACGTACTGTACAAATTTCTTCAAAAAAGAATTTATTTAATTGATTTCAATTAAAAAAATACGAGAACTGTCTAATCAAAATTTAAAATAATATAGATAATTTGGATTCTAGAATTTCAAATTAATACATTGTAAAATTGCTAATTTAATTATTTTTTATTTCAATTGATAAGAGCAATTATGCTTCGTATTTACATTGGTATTCGTCCATACTGTATTTCATTTGTATAAATTGAAAAAATTTTGTAAATAACAATGACCCATTAACGAGACTTCGTATGATAAATTTATTATAAAATTGTCGAGTAAATATTATTTACCGAATAACCTAAAAATTAATCAAAGAAATATAACTTTCTATAAAAAATTGTTTTTTCTAATATGAATAAGATACCTGAAACCTATGATACAATTTATCATGATTATAAGCTTGCTAAAAATGAGTTTCAAAAAAATAACCTTTCTAAAAAAAAATATTATGATAGTCGATTAAAGTTATTTAATATTATTTCTACCTCTTCCAATTATGTTAAAGCCTTTAGTACATATCAAGAAATGGAGAATGATTATGATGATTTACTTAATTATCCAAAATAGGATTACATTTTCTTTCTTGATTTGGTTGCAACCAAGATATTAGTAATGGTTATGGGAAAATTGTTGAAGCTAGTAATCTTCCTGATGCAAAGCTTTGGATAAATAAATATAAGAATAAAAATGATTATGGCGCAGAAGAAGCGAAAATTTTGTTATATAGAAATGAATATGATAATTTAATGCAAGATCTTATCAAACGATATGAAAAAGAAAAAAATAAACACAAATATGTACAACTTGGATTAGCCAAAAATCTTATTAGAAGAAAAATGCACAATAAAGCTCAGCTTATATTAAATAAAATAAGAAACCATCAAAACAATGATATTTATAGCCAAGTCAATAGTCTTAATTTACAGCTTAAAAATTATGAATAGCATTTTTTTTTAGATTACCCAATAACTTCTTCTTATTGCATATTATTGCATGAAAAAAATTTATGGTATGCATAATTTTATTTTTCAATCTTAAAGATGTAAATAACTAGCCAGAAATAACAAAAATAACTATAAAAAATAAAATCACAATGCTAATAATTGCGATTTGGGCTAAATTCGCAAGTAATAATGCATTTCGATATCTGTATCATGACTGAGGAGTCTTTTTTCTTCCTCGGCTAGGGGCTGTTTTTTAACTTCTTTAATAATTTCAGAAAAAATAGCCCAAGCATTTACAATTTAATTTTCTTGAGATTATCTGGAAATCATCATATATATATCTAATTTGCCGGAACTATATTTTAATTGATATACTTGTTAAATTTTAATGAAAAAAAATTTGACAATTGATTATTAATTGAACAATGCTACGCATTTTCCTAGTATAAAAAAAAATTTAACAAATTAAAAAGTAATGAGTCGTATAAATTGCAAGAAAGACCAATAACTTATTGCAGGGAAATATTTATATGACACAAAAAAAGATCACCTAGTTTTTAAGAGAGTATTACGGATAAATAGAAATGCATGCCAAATTTTTTAGGTAATTGAAGACATAATAGATACGTGAATACAACATAAATTCAATCAATAAAAAGGAAATATATAAATTATAAAATAAAATTAACATAAAATAAGTCAAATGGTCAAAAACAATGTTTTTACACAAAAAAGCTTTTGGATTTTATTGAAATTTATTAAACTTAAAAAAAAGGTGATATAAAATATGATATTTACCCTTAAATTCCACTTATACTTTAAATTGAATGTCAGAGCAATAAGGAGCTTTAATAAAAATGAATCTAATTTTCTATCTTTTAACCCACGTTTTAAAATATTTGTCAATACCTTGAGTATCTTTAATGTTGTTTTTTTGACTTTTTAAGTATTGCGATAATTCTTGTTTTTTTTTCAAAATTAATAATACTTAAATATGCAAAATGTTTATAAACTTCATTCCTTACAAAATCAAGAATTTCATTTTCTGTTAAGCCAAGAATATATTTGAAAGGAATTACATCAATTGATTTTTGTGATGATTCCATTCAAATTATTTTTATGAACAAGTACTGCTGTATCATTAATATAATCTAGATTTCATAAAAAGTTTTTTTCCATATCTGCTATTTCTTCTAAATTTTCTTTAGTGATATTATCTTCACTCTATATGATGAGATGATGAGATAACAGTTATAATATCATTCAGAAGAGACTTTAAAAAAAACTTTAAGAATAGGAAATAAATTTTTTTTTTTGATAATTTTTCATTTTTTACTACAAATTATTATTTTTTAGTAATTCAGTTAATTTATGTTCAAAATAGCACATTTTTTAGTAATTAAGTTAATTTATTTTCAAAATAACTAATTTTTTTCTAAAAAAAAATTAGGATACAAAAAGTTGATAAGAAATTGGTGTTTTAAAAAATAATTAAAGTCAATATTTATTTTACTAAACAATGTAAAATATATATAGCAAAATTTTAGGTATTCCACATAGAGATGTGAACCATTATTCACTGAATATAAATTAATATTTTACTGGATATTTATTTTCAGATAATTTCTGGTTATTTCTAAGTTTGTTTAAACTTACAAATTTTGATTTGTTGATTAAATGCTTTGGTGTATCCTCGTGAGCTACCACATTGCTTATTTTATCTAAAAAGAAAATTGTTTATTCTAACATTTTTGTATAGATTCCCTTATGTCAAGAAAATTGATCTACAAAAATTAGCTCAGAGCCAATAAAAATAGCAGAATCTTGCAGATCTTGCAGATTTTAATGTAAATCTAAACAAACACTAAAAATAAAGAAATCATAATTAATGCAAAATTTTACTATAAAAATCGGCCTTAATTTTTAAGTAAAAAATGTGTAGCATTAAATTTTACTTATAGAAAAAGTTTTTTATAATAAAATAAACAATATATGGATATAATATTATCAAAATTGTGTGTTATATCAGATGTAGATTATTTTCTTGATATAAGAAAACTCGATACACACTAGTACAAGTACTATCCAAAAAAAGTTTTCTTATATCAAGAAAATAATTTATATCTAATATAACACACAATTTTGATAATATTATATCCATATTTTGTTTATTTTAGTATAAAAAACTTTTTCTATAAGTAAAATTCAATGCTACGCATTTTTTTACTTAGAAATTAAGGCTGGTTTCCATAGTAAAAGTTTGCATTATTTATGATTTCTTTATTTTTAGCATTTGCTTAGATTTATGTTAAGATTTGCAAGATCTGCAAGATTCTGCAATTTTTATTAGCTCTGAGCTAATTTTTGTAGATCAATTTTCTTGATATAAGAAAATCCGTGTGTATCAGTTCTGTGCTGTTTCCCAAAATTTTTTTATTAAATTTATGTTGTATTTATAGAGAAAAAAAAATATAGGGCTTCATATTTTTTTTAAGTAAATATTTACTTTGTCTATTTTTGACAATCATTTATTTTACATAAGTTTACTGCATTCAATTTTTCATAGCACATAAGTTGTGGTAATGACATGTATTATTTACTTGGTAAATAAGTTAAATATACATTATTGGGAAAGAATTATCAGTTAGCATATCATTTGTCAACAATGTCACTTTTTTTTTGTATTTAACTAAGCATAATCTTCATTTCTAGCATTGATCATCTTCAACTCAAATTTATCACTGTTTCTATCCATTACTGTAATACTGTACCTGGCAAATTATCCTAATTGCTATTTTTGAAAAATAGTACAATTTGTCAAAATCTATTCTTATAAACTATACATATATATATATACATACATATAGATCTATATTATTTCTTTTCCTGATCCTTTTTTGTGACATTCATTTGCCTGACATGGTGAGTAACAGAATTTTTCAGAAACTCATGATAAAGTTCATAATCGTTTCAATGAAAATTAATTCAACATTAATACTGTGTTTCAGAATTTTTGATAGTAACTTGTAATAGAAATTATAGTAAGTCTAATACAAATTAAGTCAACCATAACTACATTCAGTGTGTTACAAATATACAAGATCTGTATCAGAATTCTTACAGTAGCTTATGATCAAAATCACTACAAACTAACACAACCTTAACTACATATTGTATATTATCAAAATAGTGAATAAATTATGTAAGAGGTTTTTACAGCACTATACCTTATGATAAAATCACAATAATTCTAATGCAAGCTATGTTATCAGAATAGCAAGTTCTGTAACAGAGTTTTTACAGCATCACAACTCATTGATTTCAATACAAATCAAACTAAACCTTAACTGCATACTGTTTACACTAGAATAGTAAGTTCTGTAACAATTTTTTATAGTAGAAGTTATGATAATTCTAATTTATATTGTGTATCACCAGATGTTTTTTATTACAGTAACACATAATAAAATCACAATAGTGTTATTGCCAACCTTAATCACATACTGTGTATCACCAGAATAGAGAGTTAAGTTCTTTATCTATTTTTTTATAGTAAATCATAACAAAAATCACAATAATTTCAATACAAACTAACATTTTACTTATAGTGTAAGTAACTCATGAAAATATTATGAAATTTCTATTTTAAACTAACTCAAATAGTAAGTTCTGTAACAATTTTTTGAGTTAACTCATATTAGAATTTATAATAATTTCAATACCAGCTAATTTAAATATATACTATATTGTTGCTAGAATAGCATGTTTTGTAACAGAGGTTTTTACAGTAATTCATGTTAGAAATCATAATAATTTTGATACAAACTTGATATTAGATTAACTAAAAGATAGATAATGTTGTTAATAAGTCATGTACTGTATATCGTCAGAATAGTAAGGTTTGTAGCAGAATTTTTTTTTTTACAGTAATTCACAATAAAAACCAAAATAATTCTAACACAAACTAACTCAACCACATATTGTGATTATTAGAATAGCAAGCAAGTTTATATGAGTTTTTGACAATAGGACCAGAATAATTATAATGCAAACTAACTCAACCTTAACCACATATTGTGATTATTAGAATAGTGAGCAAGAGTTTTTTTATAGTAATTCAAACTTAACCTTAACTCCATATTATGTGATGAATAGGTGGGTAGCAGAGTTTTTTTTATAATAATTTACAATAGAACCTTTTCATCAATACCAGACTCTGAATAAAATGTTTAAGCAATAGAAATTGCGATAATTCTGATGTTAACTAACTCAACCTCAGAAAAATACAAGACAATTCTAATGCAATTTAAATCTTAACCACACTGTGGTCGCCAGTATAATGGGTAATTATTACAGAATTTTTTCATAACTTAGAGAAATCATGAAAATTCTATTGCAAACTTAATCTTAACTATTTACTGTGGTCACCAGAATAGCAAATAATTTTATAATTTTTAAGAATCAACTTTCACTTATTATATACACTTTGTAGACATAAATCAGCTGAAGTATGGATAATGTTAATAGCATACGTTAATAAGTCACATACTGCGTATTGTCAGAATTGTAAGGTTTGTAGCAGAATTTTTTACATTAATTCATTATAGAAACTGTAATAATTCTAGTGCAAACTAACTCAACCACATATTGTAATTATTAGGATAGCAAGCAACTTTTATTATAATAAAAACAATAACAATTCTAATGCAAAATAACTCAACCTTAACTACATATTGTGATTGTTAGAATAGCAAGCAAGAGTGATTCATGATATAAATAATTCACAATAATTATGCGGTGATAAGTTTGTAAAAGATTTTTTTTTTATAGTAATTTACAATAGAAATTACGATAATTACAATACAAACTAACTACATTTTCATAATTATCAGGCCCTAAATAAAATGTTTAAATGATAGAAATTGCAATAATTTCGATGCTAACTAACCCAAGCTCATAGAAAAATACAAGACAATTCTAATATAATTTAAACCTTAACC